AAAAAAGGATAGGAGTTTAAAGAATCCGAAAAATTGAAATAAAATGAGGTAAGATACTATGAAAGGGTGATAAAGATGTGAGAAATGACTTGGATATTTATAGGGAAAAAAATTAGAATTTTTTTTTATAAATTTCGTCTTAAAAAAAAAATCTCAAATCTAATGGCTAGATGACGTCAGCTAGCATCTGCGTTGCTGACAGCTAGACCCAGCTTTCGGGCTGGCTGACTAGCTTCAAATGCCTAGCTTGATGACCATGGGCTAGAGTTTGGCCCAATGGGTCTCCTTTTTTCTTTGGCTTGGACCTCCATTGAAGATGGTTTTTTCTTCATTTTGGGCTATAAAAGAGCCTATAGCCCTATAACATTTTAGACCCAGAGCCATGTAGAGGGTGATCAAAACCTAACTTGGACCGCAACACAACTACATGAAACAACTTTTCTAGTGGCTTTTTATTCAAAATAGTTTTTGATATTGTCCACTGTCAATTATTTTGGTCATTCTGTGAAAAACTCAGTTATATTGAAGTTCACTTGTGAAACAACTTTTCTAGTGGCTTTTTATTCAAAATAGTTTTTGATATTGTCCACTGTCAATTATTTTGGTCATTCTATGAAAAACTTAGTTATATTGAAGTTCACCAATTCAAGTGGGGAGTTGATTTGACAAAAATACCTTCAATTTAATGAATTTTTTTTACAGAATGACCAAAGTGATTGACGATGAACAATCTCAAAACCCAAATTGAGAAGTTATGAAATTTCAGGACAATTTTGGTTAAAACCTCATTTCTAGGGGTGATGACCAAACACAAACAATTAAACAAAATTTACAGTAAATGTAGGTAGCAGCGAGTGCATGCAGGAGCACATGGCAGGTCAACTAAGAATGGATCACTTATTGCAAATGGGAACGTGTTAGTTTCCTTCGTCGACCTCAATCTCACAGCTAGTGGCCACTTATCTTTCCGTGGCAAATTTTTTTTGGGGTAATTTGTGTTGGTATATGGTTTTGCCCATGATAAATGTTCTAGATTATTCTATTAAGCAAGTGAGGTGGTTGGAGTATGTTGAACAATTCTAGCATTTGTTAAGTTGGTCCCCATGACAAGAAAATAGCATGAATATGCTAGATACCTCTAGCAATGTTTAAGTAGGTGAAGTGCATAAGCTAGAAAGTTCTAGCTGTTTGAATAATTTTGAGGCTGTCATGCAAGCCCAAGTTGGCGGGCTTGTGAATAAGTCAATACTCAATTATAAATAGGGGTGCATGTATGTATTATGAGGTGAAGTCAGAGTTTTCCACTCAAAGAGTGAGGATTATAAGAGTTGTTCCACTTCAAGTTTAAGAGTGAGAGTGTTCCACTACACATTGTGTGCGTGAAGTTTAGTGTGAGAGAAATTGTTGTTATACTTTCTTGTATCCATCAAACCATGTCTTTTGCTTGGCAAGACTACTCATGTTGTACTCATCATTTTCATATAGTGAAGATTGATCGTTGTTCCATGGACGTAGGCACAAATTGACAACCACGTAAATTCTTGGTATCTATTTTCTACTGTATTTTGTTCAGTCTCTATCTTGTAGTACTGACATTCCTAACAATTTGTCAATGGATCGAAGTTTACTTTTCATCTCCTAACATTAGCGGGATGATTCATTAGAAAGAAAAAAGGAAAAAGGAGAAGGATATTTACGTTGAAAAATCACTCCGGAAATGGAACGGCGTTTATATAATACAAGTTTTTCGTCGTCATGCGACTTGTTTTGTGTATCTTGAATAAAAAAAAGAAGTCGGCCCTACAGAAAATACTTTTCAGTGTTTTGGATAACGAAAACTACCTATTTTGGAAGTTTGCGAGGACCACAGTGGCGTGTAAAATTGGACAACAGTCACCACCAAAATGCAGAAGGGCATAAGGGGCTAGAAGGAACTTCATAGTCGCAGACCTGAGGGATGAGTGAACGCTGAATAAAAGAAGGATGACGGCCTGTTGCATTCATCAAGCTATACATATCAATTACGTAGCTACTTAAGCATTAAAATACTATAAATTAATTTTGATATGTTTGGATAAGTTATGAATGACCACAATTCCACTTCGAGAACATAAACCAAAGAAAACATTATTGAAATTTATCATAAAGTATATCAAACAAAATTGAATGACAATTGATAAGATAACACGCTAAACATTTTATCTACGGTACCTCCTCGTGTATATAGCCCTAGAAACTCTAGGAGACTAAAAAGGAATACAATTAAACAAGTAACAAATAAATAAAAAACAACAATCTCTTCGAAACGTCAACACCTTATAGCAATGAGTTTGATTTGCATCGTCGGTCTATTTAAAACAACATGTAATGATTCCGAATCAAACACTGAAACTTAAATTAATCTATAAAGCTTTATTCTTGCTGCTCGATTTGCGCCTTTCGACTTGATTTTCAGTCTGTTCTGCAATCCAATTTATATCAGTCCCTCCCATATAGAGGAGCCCTCTCCTACAGTTGTGAGACAATTATTTAGTTGACCAAACTCATTATAACACATGTGTAACTTCTCCACTATTATAAAACGTGTATCCTGGTCAGTATTTAATCGCCGCCCCCTTCCATGTCTTACATAACGGTATATTTCAGCTTTACCTTTGTTAAAAACCAACCAATTCGGACTCATAAGAACTGAAGAAATAAAATTCGTACAACGACAGATGCCTAGCTAAAATTTGGCACCAACCATATTTTCAGGTCCTACCGGGCATCTATATAAGAAGGAATCGGAGTCCTTCCATATCAAGATCTATCCATTGTGATTAAGGAGTTATTGGAAATAGCTTCAAAACCAAGGGCAATATTTTGGTCTGAGGTAAATCTTGTCTCTTGTTTATGATATGATATATGTGCATGCTTTAAAATAACTTATCGTTAACGATGAGTCATCTATGAGCATTGTGAAATGTTCTCAACTAAATCATGGCCATGATTTCATTACTTGTTCTCCAAATTTCAATTTTTTTTTTTATAATAACCAGATATTATCAATAAGCATGTTATTATTTCTACATGAAAAAACCTGGCATGAAACTAACCATTTTTTTGTATATATATTTTATTTTCAGGATAGAAAGACGTATATCTAGCTTCGAAAACAATATGGAGAAATCAACAACTGCTGCTATATTATTGCTCTTGTACATTTTTGGGTTATGCCCTCAACCAGGGGTTCCCTCATTCGCCAATCCATCTGATGACCTTGGTAAATATAGTTTGAAAGTCCCATTGGTTTTTCAAAGTAACTTACATGACAAATAAATTTAATAAAAAACAGTTCTCCTTATATAAACTTTTTTCCTCATCTCTTTTGTTCATATAATGCAGATTTTAGCTACTTGAAATTTGTACGTAACGCAACTGATCTACCATTACAAGAAGAATATGACTACATTGTTGTGGGAGGGGGCACGGCAGGGTGCCCGTTGGCAACAACTTTATCTGCAAACTACTCCGTGCTCCTTCTAGAAAGGGGCAATATTCCATCAGCATATCCAAATGTGTTGCTTGCCAATGGGACTTTTGCAAATTTCATGCAAGAAGATGACGGTAAGACGCCGGCCCAGAGGTTCACATCAGAAGATGGTGTAGCTAATTTAAGAGGACGGGTCCTAGGCCGGGGGAGTATGATCAATGTTGCTTTATACTCAAGAGCCGACGGTGAATTCTACGAGAAATCAGGAATTAAATTGGACATGAACTTAGTCAATAATTCATATGAATGGGTTGAAAACACTGTAGCATTCCGTCCGAATTTATCACACTGGCAATCTGTTGTGAAAGATGCGATGGTAGAAGCTGGCGTTCGTCCAGACAATGGACTGACTGTGGATCACATTCTGGGAAGTAAAGTCACGGCTACGCTCTTTGACGATCGTGGAAAAAGACATGGAGCTGTGGAACACCTAAATAAAGGACATCCAAAAAACCTGAGAGTTGCAATTCTTGCCACAGTAGAGAGGATCATTTTCTCTTCCAAAGCATCAGGTATCCAAACACATTTGATATATACAATTAAAGGTCATTTAAATTTGAAGAAAGTTGAGGTTCAACCATAAAACTAATTGACTATACGGGGAGTAGCTCATTCCATCAATATATATAGGATTCATTATCAACAAAATTTCCATAGAACAGAAATTGAATCTATCATGGCATTAAAAAGAAAGAATCTTTGATATATTTGAAGGATTTGAATCGATTCTGTTTACTTGTAAATTAAATATATGTTCAATTCTAATAAGGGTGTGATATCTACACACCTTTTTTTACTTCTCTCACACATTTTTTGTTTTCGGCCGTCGGATCGGATGAATTAAAAAAGATCAACGAACATAAATTAACAAGAGGTGTGTGAGAAGTAAAAAGGGGTGTGTGGATAACACATCCCTTCTAATATAGATTTTATGTAGGTTTGTCAGCTAAAGGAATCATATACAGTGATTCTAACGGGAGGTCTCATCGGGCATTGATACGTGGTAAGGGTGAGGTTATCTTGAGTGCAGGTGCACTTGGAAGTCCTCAACTTCTACTACTTAGTGGTGTTGGCCCAAAATCTTACCTTTCATCTCTTAAAATCCCAGTTGTTCACCCACAACCTTACATCGGGCAGTTTATGCGTGATAATCCTCGTAATTACGTTACCATTTTGCCCCCGTTTCAAATAGAACTTTCTACTACACAGGTTGTTGGTATCTCAAGTGATTATTACATAGAGACTAACTCCGGCTTGCCATATTCTACTCAGATCTTTAGTCTTTTCCCTAGTCCAACCATTCCCAATACCATAAATTCAAGTTTCGGGCAAATTTCTGTCAAATCTCCAGGACCCTTTTCCTATGGTTCTCTTAAACTGCAATCATCCTATGATGTCAAAGTTGCTCCAAATGTCAAATTCAACTACTTTGCACAGGAGGCAGACCTTTCTCGTTGTGTTAGTGCCGTGAGGAAAATGGGTGATTTATTAAAAACAAACTCATTGAAACCGTATAAGGCTCGAGATTTGCCAGGTCTAGACGGTTTCAACCTTTTTGGACCGCCTTTACCAATGAACCAGTCAGATGATGCATCCCTTAAAACCTTTTGTCGAGATACAGTAGCCACATTTTGGCACTACCATGGAGGATGCGTGGTCGGAAAGGTAGTTGATGAAGATTTGCGGGTCATGGGGATCAAGGCATTACGTGTTGTTGATGGATCTGTATTCAATTTATCACCAGGGACCAATCCTCAAGCCACGCTTATGATGTTGGGCAGGTATGCATGTTACACATGTACATTTAAGTACACAACCACAAGAAATTACCTGTACATAATACAACTACTTAGTAAATATTTAACTAAGTCCTTAAATTGCTTTTTTTATTTATTTGTGTAAGAATATACAGTTGTTCTTTTCCCACACCAAATTTTGTTCTTTGGGCAGGTATGTTGGCGTTCAAATGCTGGAAGAAAGATCAGAGTGACACGTTTCTTCGAGATTATATTCAATTTGTCATGCAATGGATTGAAGATTATTCAACAACCTTTAGTGTTATGGTGTTTTTACTTAAGATAAACTTAGTTAATAAAAGTGACCACCCAACAAAAAACCTGAATCAAGGTTTAGGGTTTTCCAAGCATTGGTATTGTTTAACAAAAAACCAGTTCACAATCACTTTACATTCAAATATTTTCACAACTCATAACATAATACCAATCCAATTTAAGATTTATCCAGAACTTGAGTCAAATGCTCATATTCTAGTAAATTCCTTCACGTTCAAATAATCCAATGCATTTCATAAGGATTGACAATATAGACAGTGCACATAAATAAAATTTATAAAATAATGCAATATCAATGAAATTCATAATCCACATTAACGGAATTTCATAATCACCATGGTAATTGCATCACAATCACAATGTAAATCATATATGCATCACACACATATATATCACATGCATGCCACTTTATTCACAAAAATTGTGAAATCATGCAACCATAATGCATATCATCATTCACACCAACAAGAACTCGAGAACACTGCATATTACAGAGTAGGATCATTTGCTCTGATACCATTAAAATTGTCACGCCCCTAACCCAACATACGTCCAGGATCGACGCGTGACGTCATCCAGCATCCGTATATCTAACATATCCCGCCTCCGATATATGTACAAGGCATAACTCAATATCCAACTACGTAATAATTTTTCGTAAGTTTTATGGCTGCATCTAACCTCCTCGTCAGACTACCTACGTACCCTAAACAAGGATCAAACCATTCGTAGTTCATCACTCACAAAATCAAATGTTTATCACATTTAGTTCAAGCAGAAAAGTATAGCATACCTCCATCATTTATTATAACCTGACAACATGAAATTCCTGGACTCAGGCTACATAACAAACCCCCATGAAAATCATGATTTCTCTTTCATCCAACATATAAATCATTATGTCTCATCACATCGCCATTCACAATATACGTCATATTTAAGAACTGACGAAGCATAAAACCATTCTCTAGCCACATTAAATAATTAATCTGATCAAAATAATAACAATCATTCCCATATAACTAAGTTGTCAAGCAGGAAATTAGAGTTTTAGAACGTTAGATTGAGCTCGACTAATATAAGTCACTAGATTTTAAAGTACTTAACGAAACCATTTAACAAATAGGAATTTGTGGCGATCATCCTATAAAGTTCATCATTTTTTCTCTAACAAAATGTGAGAGATTACGTGCCTTACCGTGCACTCTCCGACAAATACACTTAGGAGTGTATAATAATTTTTTCAAAGTGTCAATGACGTCACCTTAAGACAACCCTAAATAATTTAGAGAACATCCACCTTACCCAAACTAATCACATAGTCCACTCCATACTCTCCACATAAAGTTTCAGCATGTATTTACCAAAACTGTACATGTTTCAATAGGTATCTTTCAAAACTATTTGTAGTTTCAGCAGATACCTACTGAAGCTATGCGTATTTTCAGTAGGCTCCAGCCTTAGAGTACGTGAGTCTGTGACAAATGAAAGGATTCAATATTTTGGCACGTATCCACTGAAATAACTTAACCATTCGGTCAAGACCTACCAAATCGTTAAAGTTTCGATAGAAACCTACAAAAAACTAAATCAAGGTTTAGGGTTTTCCAAGCATTGTTATTGTTTAAGGAAAGTGACCACCCAACACTCCATGTGTATCATCTTCCCTACCTTTTTCCCTTCACCATTCACCCACTAACCCTCTATCCTTGTTGTTCTGACAGCAATTCCTTTTTTCATAACAAAGGAACTAACCCTCTATCTTCTCCAATATTCAATCCAAACAACATGCCTAATACTCAAGAACGCGTTCAATCTTTAAGCACATTTACAAAACAGATTTAGAATATTTTAAAATCCTCTGAGCAACAGAACATAAACATAAAAATCCAACAGAAAGACAAAGCAGCATACCAGTTCATGTGGATCTTCCTAACTCGTCCAAAAAACCGTGCACATAGTTCACCTGCAAGCATCAGCCCACAACCAAAAATTAGACAGAGCCAAGGAATACATAAGGAACCAAGAGATGGGTAAAAAAAAAATCAACCAACAGAGGAATGAGAAGCAAACACTAGAAAATTTTGGTTCTAACAAAGCAAAAGGAAAACAAAACAATAAACAATTAGTTTGAAACAGTACATACCCTATTCAATCAGAAGGAAAAACCGAAAAGCCATACCCTGCCATACACCCTTCTGTGACTCTCTCCTCACTGACCCTGTGCACTAACCCATTAATTAATCCAAAAAAATGAACACATCCATGCTTTCTCCTATCTCTGTCTACCTCTATCTCCCCATCCATCTCTCTCTAGAAAATCACAACTCCCCCAAAACCGGACCTAACATACTAAACAATCAGAAAATCCAAGGCAACATTAAAGAATACAATTTTAAAAAGAAACTTATCTTTGGATTTCAGGCATGCAGCGCAAGATCCGGCACACCCCACCCTTAGTAGGGTTTGTCGATGTCCCTTACCCCGTCTCCCTGAAATCCCGACGACCCATATGGTCTTCTCAGACCATACCCACCATCCCATCTGCATCAACAGTGCCGAGACCCCTACCCCTCCCCCTCGCTCTCCTTCCATCGCCATCTCTCTCTCTGTCTCTGTGCCTCTCTCTCTCTCTCTCTCTCTCTCTCTCTCTCTCTTTCTCTCTCGCAGGCCCTACCCCGAAACCCTAATAGAACATGACCAAATGATAGCTGCCCGCTGACACCCCAATCTCGCCCAAATCTGAGAGGACAAAATTGCCCTTCATAAAAAACCATGGCTACCATTGGATTGTAATCTGTGATGGGCAAAAACGTAATTAAATAATTTAGGCCTTACTGAGGGCCGGGCTTCCCAGCTAAAACCAACACATTTGGGGCTGGCTGAGGGCCGGGCTACTGACCCAAAACCAACAGAAATACCAATGGTATGGTTGTAATTAATTTGAAATTAACCACTATTCATTTCTACAGTGCCAATTCTAAACCTTTCTTTAGACTATAGTTAAATTATTTTGAATTAAAGAACACCATGTCTCTGCATATAATTGAGATTTATACTAGGATCTTGCTGATTCGAATCAAGGATATCAAAATCAATAAGCTAAATTGACAATTATTTCAAGTTCCCGCTGCTGTTTTACATTGAGTTTATTGAATTTTTTATTCTTGATATATATGGTGTGATATAACACAAAATTGCACTTTTGAATGTGATTCCTGAATGCAATCCTCTGTGAGTTGTTTGTTCTATGTATGGTTATCTTTGTTAAAATATGAGATCATGTGTATGACAAAATTGACTCATGGTGAGGATTACATGGTGAAATAGATAGAAATCAAGAATCCCAAAAGATTCAAAGTGATGATTTCATTGCTATCTTCTGCAGTTTCACTAAAAACAATGAATTTGGTTGATGTGCCTATACTCACTGGTGGAAGCAATTACAGAAAGTGGAGAAGGGAATAAAATTGCTTTTGACATTGAATGAGTATGACATAGCACTGGATACCCCATAGCCTGCACCTCTTACTGATAAGAGTTCAAAGGCTGAGAAGTTAGAGTTTGAAAGATGGACAAGAGCTAACAAAGTGGCATTGTCAATTTTGGAAAGTGGGATGATTGACATTGTGCGTGGAGGCATCAAAAGGTGTGATCCTTTGAGAACAAATTCAAGGAATCACAAAAGGCTGAAAATTGCTTAGTATATGACTCTTCTTACAACCTACAAGTTTGAAGGGGGTGGTTCAATAAGAGATCATATTATGAAGATGAACGATGAGGCTGAAAAACTTAATTCATTAGACATGAATATTTGTGAAAAAACAGCTGGTGTTTATGATCTTGCAAGCACTTACTTTGAAGTTTAGTCAGCTGAAGGTCTCCTACAACACTCAAAATAAGTCATGGTTAGTGGATGAGCTTATATCTCAGTGTGTTCAAGAGGAAAATCGACAGAAGCTGGACAAGGAAAGGAAGTTGAGACTACTTTGTGCAGACTTCAAAAAAGAAAGACTTCAATCCAAATTCTGGCAAAACTTCTATGTCAAATACCTTGATAAATCTTATGTGCCTGCTAAGAATCCCAACTCCTCTAAGTCTAACAATTTTAAGGTTAAAACTAAAAACATAGAAAAGGTTAGATGTCACCATTGCAAAACAAAAGGTCACTATAGAAAAGATTGTGAAATATTCAAGGAATGGCTGAGGACTAAGGGTAGGACTAATGTGTATGTCTGTGAGGAATCAAATCTCATTGAAATTCCTGTAAATTCTTGATGGTTTGATACTGGTGCATCTTTGCATATAACAAATTCACTGCATGGTTTTGAGAAACAAAAACAAGCAAATGCATATAACGTTTATGTTGGTGAGGGAACCAGAGTTACAGTTGAGTCTATAGGAAGGGTAAAACTCAAATTGTCTTTTGGCTTTGTGTTAGAGTTATCCAATGTGTTGTATGTGCCTGCAATGAGAAGAAGCCTATTGTCTGCATCTAAGTTAGTAGATGAAGGTGTCACTTTCATAGGTAATAAGGAATGCATAATTTTTTTTAGTAAGGGGTCTTTAATAGGAAAAGCTGTTTTGCATGATCACTTGTAGAAAATACAATGCACATTATTGAACAATGAGTTAAGTATTTTGAACACAACTGCCAAAAGAATGCATAATTTTGACAATTCTTATATGTTATGGCATAAAAGACTAGAACACATTTCAAGGGATAGGATCATGCAATTGTCAAAGTTGAGTTTTATACCTGTTTTGGATTTTGACAATGCACCATAGTGCATTGATTGCATGAAAGGGAAAACCTCAATGTTAGGAAAATGGATGCCAATAGAAGCAAACACTTGCTTGAGATTATACACACACAGCAGGAGAATGATCAATCAAGAGAATGACAATTTTTAATGCCCTTAAACTGCACTAACTTCAGTGACGAGAAGTACTAGGTCAAATAAACGGACTCTGACAATGGTTCAGCAAACAAGGACTAGGATTCTCTCCCTTCCTCTTTCCATCCCTTTTCATCCCCTTCCATCTCCTCCTCTCACATTCTCTTATTTTGTCTTTCTCTTGCTATAAAAAATTAATAGATGATGTTGACGTGGCTTAACCGTGACCATTCAAATAGGAGGGGAGGGAAGGGGAGGAAAAAAAAAGATGGGAGAGAATCCTACTCCAGCAAACAAAACAAGCGCCTTGTTGTACAGGATCTAGTTTATAAGGGAAAACACAATCTCCCTTCTTGTTGCCATAGCGAAATACTACATAAGCGCAACCCATAAAGAAGAAAGGACACTAAAGCTTGATAAATTGTAAACAATGAGCAGAAAAGAAACCTGAGGACTGCGAGTTCACAGGATTGACCACATGCGTATGCCTTTACAAACAAATGTGCCCGTATTTGCAGGAATGACAACATGAATTTTATTTTGTTTTCCATTTGGAACCACATGGCAGAAAATGAACTCATCACCAATGATTGTATAGTCTGATAGTTTTGCTGTATCGTCGTCCAATATAATCCAATTAGAAGGGCAGATGGAAATGAGAAGAACTGGATAAATTAATTGTTGGAAATTTGAGTAGTTTGAGTAGAAATTTCTTTGTCCCACATTGGCAATTCTCAAAAGATTTTATCACTTTATAAGACTTTGTCCTTTATAGAAAGTGATTAGAGTAATAGGCCTGGAGACTAAAATTGGGCTCACCCTTGGGGTTGGGCTTTAGGATGTACTAATTAATTGGTAATTAATATATATAATTAATTATAATTAATATATAATTAATATATATTTAATTGTCAAAAGATGGGCCTTGGGACAAACGTTCAGAGATCAAGTAACGGGACAAAACCTTTCGACGATTATAAACGAAAAGCCCGATTTAACGGTAGTTTTAACTTCGATTTTGATGATTTTTTAGAACTACACTCCTAACCCCTATATGAATACAATGAACTAATTCGATCGTCAATTAAAAAAATTTAAACAAGTGGATACAACAAAAGAAAAAGGTAATGCAAGAACCCCAAAAGAAAAGCAAAAGGGAAAAAAAAAAAAAAAAAAAACTTTGCGCGACGTAGGTACCTCTGCGTCGCGCCAAACATCTTTGCACGACGTAGAGGCACCTACGTCGCGCAAAGTTTTTATTTTTTTTTAAATATCCTTCAATAGAATCATTATTGATTTGGATTAGCATTAAAGGGTGTATCTAAAATTTTGTCAATGCATACCAAAGTACAATTACGGCTAGCTCTACTTCAAAATCCAAAAACATACGGCAAAGATGTAATTACAAACACGTAAAAATGCAAATTTGCAAATAATTAATATTTTGTTATTTTTAAAATGTATGTAAAAAAAGGGTTGAATTCTTTCTCGGTTGAGCAAAAAGCTTATGGTTGTTATTGAGTGTTGATTCCTCAAGAAAAGACCTTATAAGTAAGTTGATGTTGGAACATTGCTCTCGTCTTTCCCAACTGCATGTCATATCATTTTCGGTGTTACCTTACGGTCCTTACTCATCTAACAATTTTTAATTTTCTTTAATTGTTTAAATTATTTTTTTCTTATTCATAAAATTTGTTCTTTCTTCACCGCAAGTACTCAAGGACATGTCGTCCCAGAAGTAGCCAAAGACAAAGGAATTAACAGGAAGAAAACAAAAGGTCGTCAATTGATGCATATTAATAATTAAAATTAATCCAATTTAAGAATTAAATTTTATGACATGAGATTTCTTTAGTAATGCAAAAAAAAAAAAAAAAAAAAAAAAAACCTTTGCGTGACGCAGGTGTACCTACGTTGCGCAAAATTAGGAAAAAAGCGGTAAAACATCTTGGTTTGGCACCAAAACTTTGCGCGACAAAGACTGGAGTCGCGCAAAATGTCTTTGCGCGATGCCAGTCTTCGTCGCGCAAAGTTTTGTTGCGCAAAACAGCTTTGAACGACGTTTTATTTTTAGCGTCGCGCAAACATACTTTGCGCGACGAAATTTGCTACGTCGCGCAAACATGTTTTTGTACTAGTGATCTGACACAATTTCTGTCGGTTTTAGAGTATTTTCTATCGGAGAATTCATTTCCTGATGCTGGAAATTCTGTCGCTTATTATATCCGCCACTGCATTCGTTTTCTGTCGGATTTTGCTTAATATCCAACAGTAATACACATTTCTTGGCGGTTTTCATAGCGACACTAATAAATGGATTTGTAGTAGTGAACTTGAATCAAGGTTTAGGGTTTTCCAAGCATTTGACGCCGTTCAAATTGATGCGAAATTAAAAAAAAAATGTAGTCATATTATGCAAAATTAAGAAAAATGTAATCATACTTCATGCGCAGCATCCAAACAACGATTCAAATATTTCATTCGCAAAAAATAACCTTTTTTTTTTATCAACGTGTTTTCTTGCAGTCCCCATCTCCCACATTGATGATAAGTGAAGATGTGTCGTGGAGCCTACCACAACGTTATGAGCTGCACACTTGGTATTTTAAACTCTAGTGAACGCACAAATTTGATACACAGCTTATTTCCAAATCAGCCATAGACTTAAAATTCAACACTCCCCTTTAAGTCTAAAGCTGATTTCACTCCAAGCATTCTTTTGAGAAGACTGAATCGATCCTTTGCGAGTGGCTTTGTGAAGATGTCTGCCAATTGCTCTTCTGTGGGACAACACACCAAGTCAATAATGCCTTTCTGCAATGCATCTTTGATAAAGTGATATCTCCTATCAATGTGCTTGGTCTTTTGATGGAACACATAATTCTTGGTAATGGCAATGGCAGATGTGTTGTCACAGTGAAGAGGGGTTGCTTCAGTTTGTAATTCTCCAAAATCCTCCAGAACAAACCTCAACCATATTGCCTGAGCTGCGGCTTCAGATGCACTTATGTATTCAGCACCTGCAGTTGAAAGTGCAACACAACTTTTTCTGCCCCTTCGATTATTTTCCGACAAAGTGTAGAAGGGGAATTTGTCACTATAACATGAACTTTGAAGCTAGCTAAACAGATCTGGGGTCTTTGAAAATGACATCAAATATTAGAAAAATCGATGCTGACAAAAGTGGTATATTCAAATGCTTTAAGGGAGTACATTCAACACCATTAAATACCACAAAGCACACAATAAGGAAATAAAATAATAAAAATATAGCAAAAAGTCCATAAATGTTTTCCATGTAAGTGCCACTTCAACTTGGTTAACGGAAACACAACAGACTTGATGGAATGGGGTATTTTGAAACATGAGGCATATCATAAGGAGGGAGGGGGGAAGCTAGACGCATATCATAACTGTAACAAAGCCTAATAAATATTCTTCCATTGATTGAATCTCCCCACAAGAAGTTTTAATTGGGAAAGCATACAACATGCCATATTCAGATTCTTCTACCATAGATACGGATTACACAGGCCCTGGTCCCAAAAGCTTAAGATGTTAGGGAATGGGTGAACAAGGGATGCCAAGCTTACACCCTCCCTCACATGCAGAATGGGCAGCATGTGGAGGAACAAACAGATGGAAGGAGAAAAAGAACATAGTAGTGCAGCCTGACCATGCACCATTCACACAGCATAGAAGCAGGCATCGAGATCAAAAGTTTTGAACCCAATACCTCTTGCAAACTACTAACAAGGCTCTAATACCATGTTAGTTAACCACTGGCCCCAAAAGCTTAAGTGATGAGGGAATAGAACCGCAAGAATTATCAGGATTACAACAACGACTAAACATCCATGGGTTGACAGAAGTTAAACACCACTGCATTTGCCTCGACACGAACAAAAGATGTACCTATACAGTCCCGATATGACAGAATAACCCTAGATATTCAGTTATGCCTTTTAATTGGACTATGCTCAGATAAAATTTGGATTGACAAGGTGTGTGATCAAATTTCTATATAAGAATCTCAGAACAAAACTCATTTATTTCTTTTGTGTTTGGAAAGTCCGAAAAACTCAGTTCAACCATAGTTTTCTATTGGAAAGAAGTATCGATAGATCCTTTTATTTTCGTTGAACATCAAATAAGTACTGGAACAACTAGAAGTCTAGAACAAATGTGAAAAATCCCAATGGCAATGCACTAACTTAAATTCAGATCACATTTAAACTCACACGAAAATGCATCATATGCAAAACCAAAGCTAAATTGATATAAAGTTGAGAGAACAATAAGAATATACCATTTGTTACAAGTGAACCTACCGCTGCTCGTTTTATCTGCTATGATCTTTCTTAAGATCTTTCCACTGAACTTCAAATTTCAATAGGCCCTGCTCTAAGAACGACTTCTCAAGGTGGTACCTCAATTCCCGAAAGTTTTGATGCAATTTTGCTATTTAACAGAAAAGAACAAAAATAAATCTAGTAAGCTACTACAGGCCAATCAAATTGTAACAAAAAAGAAATGAAATTTAAAACATGCAGCCATTATCAAAGGCAAATGGAAACATGGGTATCTAATAAAAACTCAAAACTCACCAATTGCATTATCCAATTCCTCTAAGCAGTTGGCGCCATTTCAGAACTCCAGCACAAAATACCCACCTGGGTATTGTGCTTTTCTGGCAGATTAAGCTTGTGGGGAATCTGGGGATCTGATTGAAGAAAGAAGGAGAATTTACAGTCAACTATGTGACTGTGATGGAATTTGAGGGCGGTGAGGTGAAGGAGGCTTCGATTCCTCAGCCCACCAATTAGCTCTGTTGCATGAATTCATAAGGAGAGCAGGTTTAATATTTTTTATTTATTTAATTTCCATTTTTGGGGTGAGAAGAGAGCTGGGTTTTGTGAGAGAAGAAAATCTGAGAAGTGTTTGTTTGACCTGGACGGTAGAACAGAGAACTCGGGATTCTTGGGAGGATTTCTCAACGAAGAAGAAGAAAGTGGACTACTCTGCTCAGGCCCACCAGCAAGTATATTGGTAGGCCGAACCCACTTTTCATCTCTGCTACATGAAAATAAAAACAGTTTGAATTAGCATTTTTTCCTAATACAAACGATATTTTACAGTAAGGAGAATGAGAGGGTTGAATTCAAGACACCGTGAGTTGAAGAAGAAAAGACTAATAAATGTGATTTAAATCAACTTTTTATCGCAACATACAGAGGCATGAACGGGGGAATACAACACCATAAGGAGGAATTCATAGATCTTTATATTCTACTACATAACCTAAACAAGAGGCATATGGCAATAGCCAAGTTTTACGATAAAAGGATAGGACAAAGGGAGAGGCTTGTAGGTCATTTGGTTAAGAGCATTTACCATTGCACTTGAGGTCCATATATGTTTGTCCATGCGATTCTCATGACTCACTGATTAAGGAGTTGTTGATGTTATTAGTTTGTTTGTACCGTTAGTTTTGTTCCGAGTACAATGTGTTTGGATTAGTATGTGGAGGACAAGTATCCTCTGAGACCGTCATTACCCGATAACCCTCAGCTAAAAGTTATTAATCTCTAGGTAAGTTAAGGAACTCATTTTTGTTCATTGCTGGAACACAGCCAAGAAACAGAAATTTGCAGTGCATCAAAACTTGTGTAAGAAGATTCTACAAATGCTACAAATTCTATAGCACTTGAAGGGCTTTCTGTTTTAGTTGTTTTAGACAAAATAAAGAATAGGACTTATCTTTTCTTTGATCGCAATAGGATGCTACATACAACAACACCACACCCTAAAAGTTAAAAAGTAAGGCAAATTCAAATGAAATACCACCTTTCAATAAAGATTTTAAGGAAAAATACCACTAGTCCATTCTAAAAATTGTGAATAAATACATTTACATAGAAACGTTTATATTTTTGTCCCCATTGCAAGCGTTACATAGAAACGTTTATATTTTTGTCCCCATTGCAAGCGCTCCACATACCACCAGTGCCAATTTCAAAAATTGTTGTCGGCCAGAGTCCTTGTGGTTACAAATTTTTTCTAGTTGCTGAAAATTTTCAAGTCACTTTTACATAGTGACTTAAAAAAATACGTGCAACTTTTTCATTTTCAATTATGTTTTGTTGTGTGAGTTTACTTTTTTCTTCTTCACATATGTACGTAAATACAATAAAATTAGAGAAATTATGAGAAAATTCATTACTTAGCATGTTCTTTTTGAAGGTCATTGTTAGAGAGTGACATTAAACTGGAAAAAGTTGTCGGTCGCCTGAAAATTTGAAGGTCATATTGGTCGTCGGAAAATTTGATCAATCAGTTGCAAGAAAAAGTTGCTCGGTCGAAAAACATGGTAGAATTAAGTGACAATCATGTAATTAATTTGAATTAGTAATATTTATAGAATTGTTTTGGTTGATTTTTCCATTGATAGCTAAACTGAAAAAACATGGTATTATTCATATATGCATCAGACCTCCTGAGAAACGAGAGATTCCCCAAGGAATGAAGGATCTATCCTGTTAAATTATACTTTTTTAAATTAAATACTTCAAACGTCTGCTATATTGTTTTCTGTAATCCTTGTCCTGAGCTAACCCTATTCAGGTCTATCATAACCACCTTCCACTTGGCCGGTGGCAATGCCTCCATCTTTGCCCAACAGCAACTCATTTGCTTCTAAAAACCAAGTCATATCACGACTAATGACCAATCTACTACTTTCATGCAGTGTCAAACATTCCACGGTCACGGTCTAAACTTGCAGGTCAGACCGTGCGGTGGAGCATGGATATGTCATCTAACACCTCATTAGATTATTTGATGACACTTGAGGCTAACTATTGTCCTAATTTGCTTCATGGTGAATATAAACTCAATCGGTGGGCAGTATAGTATCATAGTTTCAATTGTTATTTCAAATAGGGCATGCAAATAGTTCTATTTTTGGAAGAAAAAAAAAATGCATGCAAGTTGATAAACAAATAAATAAATGTGTAAATGTGTTGAACTTGCAACCACCAAGCCACCAAATGTCTAAGTGCAGAGGTGGAAAGGTAACTACACGACGCCGCCTACCACTTTAGAATTTAGATACATAACAGAGTTTAGTTTGAACTCTGAACTTGCACAATTCCGTATATACCTCGCCATTTTTCTCTTAGATGGAATTATTGTTGAAATCCCACATCGGTGGGTGAAAAAGAAAATTATGGGTTTAAATATGATTGCCTTACATTAATTAACATTGTGATTTTTCATGGTAAAACTTCATATTTGACGGATTTGGCAGGTGGTAAAGTTAGAAACAGTATTAAAGTGAAACCCCATGGGCCCCACCGATCCAAAAATCCAACGATTATGTACATCGATTACGTAACTTCATCAAGCTATACATATCAATTACGTAACTTCTTTAACATTAAAATACTATAATTAAGTTTTGATACGTTGGGATAAGTATGAGAATGACCACAATTCCACATTCGAGAACATAAACCAAAGAAAACATTACTGAAATTTATCATATAGTATTAGAAAATCTCAAACAAAATTGAATGACAATTGATAAGATAATAGGCTAAACGTTTTATGTATGGTACCTCCTCCTGTATATAGCCCCAGAAACTTTAGGAGACTAAATACGAATACAATTAACAAAATTGAATGACAATTGGTAAAGATAACATGCTAAACATTTTATCTACGGTACCTCCTCCTTTATATAGCCCTAGAAATTCTAGGAGCCTAAATACGAATACAATTAAACAAGTAACAAAAAAATAAAAAACAACAATCTCTTCGAAACGTCAACACATTATAACAATGAGTTTGATGTGCATTGTCAGTCTTTTTGAAATGATATATAATGATTCCAAATCAGACACTAAAGCTCAAATTAATCTATAAAGCTTTATTCTTGCTGCTCGATTTGCGCCTTTCGACTTGATTTCAGTCTGTTCCGCAATCTAATTTATATCAGTCCCTCCCATATAGAGGAGCCCTCTCCTACAGTTGTGAGACTCAATTATTTAGTTGACCAAACTCATTATAACACATGTGTAACTTCTCCATTATTATAATAAAAATGCCAGCCAACTTCATGGACCAAATTAAGGGTGAACCGGATAAATGCATTGCGTTGTGTACAACGAAGGAAGTGACACCCAACCATATTTTTAGGTGCCTATTGGGTAGGGATGGCAATGGGGTGGATTGGTTCGGATGTGCCATCCTCATACCCCGAACATGTTTATTTTTCCCAAACCCGAACTCGTAGAATCCCTGAATGGGTTTTCCCCATAACCAAACCAGTCAGGTGACAGATTTTTGATTGGGGACGGTTTTCCCCATTATGTTATTTATATAGTTATTTATATTATTAACTAAATGAAGAAAATTAAATAAATTGCTATTATTAATACAATGCATCTAATAAGTAATATTAAAAATTTATATTACTAAGAAAACATTTACACTCTTGGAAATTATAAGCGTATAATTCCTATTATTAATGATATAAAAGTAAATAATTAATTTCATATTTAATAATGCATGATTATTAACAACCACTTTTTTATATAATAAATATTTATATTTTTTTATTCATAGATGAAATGGTTCGGTTTCGAGTATGGGTTTGGGGCGGATACCCCAATAACCAAAACCGAACCCGAAATCGAAAAATTTACCCAATGGTTACCCATAACCGTAAAATACCCGAAATTAGATGCCCGAAACCGAACCATTCGGATCGGTTACTTACTTGCGGGGATCGGATTTGACGGGTTAAATTGCCTTCCCTACTAGCGGGCATCTATATAAGAAGGAATCAGAGTCTTCCTATATCAAGATCTATCCATTGTGCTTAAGGAGTTATTAGAAATAGCTTCAAAACCAACGGCAATATTTTGGTCTGAGGTAAATCTCGTCTCTTGTTTATGATATATATGCATGCTTTAAAATAACTTACCGTTATGAGTCATCTGTGAGCATTGTGAAATGTTCTTAACTAAATCAAGGCCAGGATTTCATTACTTGTTCTCCAAATTTCAATTATTTTGTTTACAATAACCAGATATTATCAATAAGCATGTTATTATTTCTATATAAAAAAACTTGGCATGAAACTTGTTGATGCACAAAATCGGTGAGGACTTTGGTTCAATAGAAACTGTTAAGTTTGTGACCTTCGCTAGATTGCTCCGGTCACTAGTGTGGATAAGTATGTAAATGGATAGGGACAGGGAAGCAAACACAAGATGTATGTGGTTCACCCAGATTGGCTACGTCCACGGAGTAGAGGAGTTCTCATTAATTGTGAAGGGTTTACACAAGTACATAGGTTCAAGCTCTTCTTTAGTGAGTACTAGTGAATGATTTAGTACAAATGACATTCGGAAATATTATGAGAGAATGATCTCTATTTATAGAAGAGAGTTTCTAGTTTCATTCTGACATTGACACGTGTCGTGTTGTGATTGGCTTCTGATGTTGACACGTGTCGCGCTATGATTGGCTTCTGATGTCGACACGTGTCGCGCTGTGATTGGCCTCCTGGTTGGAGGGAAACTCTTCTGGGTCCTTGACGGTATAACATTAACCGGTGCTCAGTAGTTTCGGGATTGGTCAAGTATGGTACAAACAGTGCTCCCTTAAGTTTCCGAGTGAGGGAAGCTCTTCGGTTAGGGACTTGCAAAATCCAAGCCATTGAATAATCACGAAACTTATAAGTATGGAAGTGTGGTATCATTTTCACTTGCCTTATCTGTCTCATATGTAGATATGGCATCTTCTCTTGAAGTACTTTTCCTCCATCCAGGGGTGGTATCCTTAACCGATGAAGATGCACAAGGTAATGTATAAATTTTACTTGAAGCTTACTTGTAGTTTCGAGCTTGGTCAAGTGAGATACAAACCCTATAGTAAGAGTTCCCCAAGTTGTCGAGCTAGGAGATTTGCCAAAAGAGATAACCGACAAGGTAAGCAATCAGACTTCCAAGCAAGCAACCTAGATCGGAGGTTCGACTTCAACTTTCGGTTGATTGTTCTCATTCTCCTTATGTCGTAAACAGCAA